CATCGGCATCGGCGACGACAGACGCAGGTGATGGCAATATGTACAGACACATCTGTGTCTGTACATAAAAATGGAATAATCACTTTGTTTTGAAAATGGCCAACATGAATTTCTTTGTAACAAGACATGAAGTTCTATACTGATTTCTTGTCACTCACAGCAGCCAGAGGCAGCTCTCCAATCTCCTGTACCGACTCCAGCTTGTCTACACTCAGTGGCAAACTCTTCAAGAACACTGCAAGCCGATTCCTTTGCTTTCTTCCATGACTTCACACTAAGAGAACACACATCTCTCACACAAGAATCCAACCTATCCTGTGTGGACTGGACTCTGCCTGATGCTATACATTCTGCAAATGCTCCATCGGGACTGTTCAATAGGCCGCAGAAATTGATGCTGTTTGCTTTCACCAAGTCATCCACAGAGCAAGGTGTGTCTACATTTGTTGTTCCATTAGTACACCTAATAAAAAGTGAATAATAAACTGTGAGTAAATGGATGGTGCTTTGACCTGATGGGCAATATATATATGAAAGTGCATTAAGGAACAATGTTGTGGACTTCAAAGAAATTTATTATGTACATTTTTATGTTCTAACCCCAAAAAGGTATCCCCTTGTATTATTCAAGGTGTTACGACACAACTGGTTGTTCTGAATAGTCCCGCTTTTTATCCTTACCTTAAAAAATATATTACAAAAATTTAAAAACCATTGCCCAACTTTGAAAATAGGACAAATGTAAGCATGCAGCAAGCATATCTTTTAAATGCTAAATAAAAACTCACTCTTGGCTTCCACCTTCAATTTGGTAACTGATACCAATCTCATTGTCACGCTCTTCTGGATCGAGGGAGGAAACATCTTGACCACTAGCAGTTGTGTAGTCATCAATAGCGTTGTCATTACAACTGCCACATATTCCACACATCTCATCCTTGTAGCTGCTAGGAGCTCGGACTGTAACATGGTTATTGTCAAAAGTAACTCGCAGCCCAAAGTTGGTTGCCACATAGGTGTTGTAATTTGGAAGCATGCCAATGCGTATCTTATTTCCAATGTTCATCGGTGCGCAAATGCTTTCTCCATTCAGCTAGTAAATTAAATTAAAATGATAATAAGATTTAAAATGATAATAAGATTTAAAAAAACAACTCCCACCTAAAGGGATTTAAAAATGCTCAAATGGTAAAGTGCGTTTGAGTTGTATAGTGATACATAAAGCAGAAGACTAGCTGGCAGCAGTGACTGCAATCTATACTTAAAGAAGGTATTTCAAAATCAAATGTTTTACGGACATGAGCCTAGGTTTCAAAAAAAAGAAAAAAAAACATTTATCATGGAACCCAACACCTAACCAGGCAGGGGTCTAGGGCCGCTTTAGGTCCCCAAAAAATATAAATTTTAAAAACGCAGGATTCTGCATTTCAGCCAAAAAAGCTCATGTCTGGCCTTAACATCATTACCTGAATGGCAAGCCCTGGTCCAAGTCTAACAACGTGACTGTCAATGGTCACATCCACGAAGCGAGCAGTGGAACTTCCATCTTTGTGATCAATATCTACTTTGAATCCTGGAAGGCTGGGATCACCTGCAGGGCAGTACCCAGACAGCAGGTATCTGCAGGTGCCATCAAAGTGGATGTTGCTCTGATCATAGGTGGTGTAGTCCATGTTTGCAGCTGCCCTACAAACACATGGTGTGCTGCTCAAGGCTGAAAAATAGTAACGAAATGTGTTATTAACCTATTAAATATGTATGTATTTAATTTTTTTAACGTTCTTGTTGATTTTGACTTTGGAATTAACAGTAACAGAATGTATCAATGCCTGACTAGGACTAAAAAAATACAAATATACTATAATAAGCTTTTTTCACGATAAAACTCAAGTTACAAATAAAAATATTAATACCAACCTCCATCACAATTCTTCTGGCACAATGGCATCTTGTTGGCCTTGCAGGTAGCAAACTGCAGGACTATCTTGTGAGACTGGCTGTTGGGGTCTATGGGTTCTGTACTTCCCTTATAGTGTAGCTGGACGCAGTAGTTCACTTTGGCACTGCCCTGCACCTTGAATGGGTTGTTTGGATCCTGGCGATCAATCCACAGGATATCTTTATAGCCTACAGTGAAAAGAGAGTACATTAGAAAAAATTTTGACTTGTTTGTCTTTAATCTAAACAAAATGCTTGAAGTCTTGCTAGATGTATTGCAAATGGTTAAATTTCATGCTTATGTGATGACTCCAGATGACACATTTCTGTTTTTCTTAATATCTCAAGGTTGCTGCATGAAAAAAAAATGCAACAGTCAAGAAACCACCTTGGATTAAAGCCCTTACAATTTAAGGTCAAATGTATCTTAAAGAACATTGCTGATGTTCTGCATGAATTGGGATCCGACAAGTTTAATTAACAGCACATATAATTTTTATCAGCTTAATTACCATCAGAGTTCCACTGTATCATGATTTTGCTACCACAAATGTATTTAACTTTGCCTCCAGTCCAGTATATCCTAGATTCCGTGAAACCTGCAAATACAATGGTCCAAATTTTAGGAATTGATCGCAAATACACAAATATGTATTGATAAGAAAACTGTGATAATGTTAAAAGCAAATAACATATAATTAAAGGCATCCTAACAGGGATTTACCTGCCATATAAAATTTTCCTGTCTTTTTTATAATCATTAATGATATAACACTATGGACAAATCATTACCCTACCAAATGAAATCTTTTCTTAATAAAAAAATTAAAAAATATATACCAAATTTTATTGATATTTTAACAAACATTCTGCTAAAACATTGTTTTAAAAACTCACCAAAGCTCTGCAACCATTTCTCAATATTATCCCAGTCAGTTTTGGTATAGAATCTCACAAGATGGAGTTTCATGGAGTCTTCCCCATCAAGATACCTGCAGTACTTCTCGGCACTGGCTGCGTCAAAATTGGTGGGTTGTAGTGAAAGACAGCCTCCTGCTTGATAAGAGGTCAACACTGGAGACCAGTGTCCTTTTCCAGTTGGGTCAGCACAGGAGCAGTTACCAGAGGGAGGTGGTGTGGTTGGCTCTTCGGTGGTTGGAGGTAGGGTGGTTGGTGGCAGTGCTGGAAGAACAAGGCAGGAAGTAATAATGTTCTCTGTCAACTTATCTGGTCCTTGGAAGCATTAAAACAGTCGAAACTCCCACAAGAAGTACACCACAATACTCAGTTTCGCCTCTAACACAATTCAAAGCAATATGAAAGCAACTTTTATAATACTTAACATGGCACTTCAACATGAAGAAAGAATTGAGGAATTGGAATTAATTTTTTTTTATCTGATCCCTGTTTTGAAGTTAATTTATGTTACAGAGATGACATATATAAAAGGAAATAATTATTTTTCTAAGACAAAGAAGAGGTGAAAGTTATCTTACGATCACAAGAGTAGCCATCACTGTTCAGGACATAGCCATCATGGCAACTACATGTGCGCCCTGGTGACATCTCGCAGATGTGTTCACAGCCGCCATTGTTATTGTCACAAGGTCTAAAGTCTGAAATATTTTTTGTTAATTTAATTAATCAAAAATATCAAGATATTAAGATCATTAAAAACGCAAAGATATTCATCCCTGACCATTTGCAAAATCTTTTCAAAAACAAAGTCTAATAATTAAACATCAATTATTTAATAATTAATAAAAATTAAATCCTTTAAGTTAGTTGACATTTATTTTCCACTTTGATAGAGAGAGAAGTACTTTTTTTCACCCTTAGCAGTAATCCATTTTCAAATAAATTTCTTTAAACCAAGACTCTTGTCTTCATAGAATTTTTCTCTTTTTTTCTTATACAATAAAACTACATTTTCAGGCATTGTGATCTATTTTGGTAACATACCTCCTAGACATGTCTTCATGGCAAGAGGAAGCTTCTTGGTCCAACAGCTACCAAAGCGAAGAGAAACCTTATGGGTGCTAGTGTCAGGATCAATAGGATCTTCACTTCCATAATAGTCTAAGAATACACAGTAGCCCTCCTTTACACAGCCCTTGACCAAAGGACTGTCACGGTCAATAATGAAAACATCATCACCTCCGTTACAATCCCAAACAATGTGAATCTCTGAACTGTTGACCATCTTCACTGACCCACAAGTCCAGAATGATTTGCATGTTGTAAAGCGTGGTGGGTTGGGTATGTAATCTAGAAAGAATGTAAAATTATTCATCATCTTAAAGGAATAATAACTCTTCGTATGAGATCTATAATTCATAATAAAAACATTGTAAACAACTAATAGAAATATATATTATGTTGTACCACAAAAACGGCAGTTATAGCTATTATTCTGATATCTGAACTTGTCTTTAAATCACATGACCTCTATTGATGGCTATACTCTGTTATAATCTCTTAAGAGATTATAACAAAAAAAAAATCTTTTTAGAAAAAAACAGGGACTAACTAAAAATGGATTCATTAACCATTGGTAAGTATGGGAAAATTGTTGTTTACTCCAGGAAAATTCATTATTTGGCCAAAACGAAGAGTTAGTATCCCTTTAAAGATATTGTTATCATACTGATATTATGGAAATTAGACCTGAGAATTCTTTAAATATCTATGGCATTACTTGAAATATTCACATTACGTGAAGTGTCTGTTACTCCTTAGATTGGAAAACCAGATTGATAGGTAA